GCACCTTGGATCCTTAAATTATTTTTCTCACGTCACGAAATTTGTAGAAAACCTTCCAAGGGGAGGCTTTTCTAAACCTGGCAGTCCCAAAATGTTGAGCTTCAGGTCTTGCAAGTRACAGCTTTGTCCAAAACTGGCACCACACGGGCAGGTTTGGCTGTTTGAAGGATGMTGATGGATTAAGGATGGCACATTGGGAGAGAGCAGGAATTTGTCACCTTTTCTGCTGCTCAGGAGTTCATCTCCAGCTCTGTGGTTGAACTTCCCACCAAAGCTGTGTTTGTGGAGCTGGTGAGAAGCACAGGGCTCCAAAAAAAGGGAATTTCCTCACTTTTGAGCAGCACTTTGGGATGTGAACCATTTCACAGCTGCAGGGGACGGGAACAGCGCTGGGTGATCCTTTAGTTCCCATTCCCACTGGAGCTTTCCTGACCTTCCCTCCCAGCCCAGATATTTCCTGCTGGAGCTCCTGCCCTGAGCCATCGTTTTCCACACCAAACTTGGGTGGTGTCATGAGAGTCATGAGATCTTCCCCTTTTGTAAATTCTGTTTTACGAAATATCAGGCCCCAATTCTGCAATGGCACCTTCAGGTGATGATGTCACCCACCCCAAGCTGCTCCCCCCAATTCTCTGTTGTTTCCATATTTTGGGGCTCTGAGGCAGCAAAGTGTCCTTGGAATCAGGCTCAGAGAGGAATTGTTTTGTTTAAAGATGGGAGAAGAGCAGCTTTAGTGCTGTGGAGTGGAGAATTCCAAAAACACAGAGACATGAAAAGAATAGAAATTAAAAATCCTAAAGCATCATTTCCATTGGGTACGCAGTGATGGCCAGGAAATCACCACTGGGAATTCCACAGCTGACATTTCAGCTCTGCAGAATGGCTGACTCTCCCTCTCTCCCTCTCCCTCTCTCTCTGTTTTTTTTATAATTTTGCAGTGTGAGGTTTTGGGATCTGCCCGCTCGTGCACGGGGYGCGATGTGACGCAGGTGGTGGCGCGCGCCCGGCTCGGGGACAAAGAGCTCCCTGTTCACCGGGGTTTGCAGCACAAACCCCACACTTGAGCCTGGGGCTGGCTCCCCTTCYCCTCTAGGATGAGACATTTCACAGCTGGAGGCTGCTCAAGACCCTTTTTCTGCAATAACTCAGGTTCAGAGAGAGCCGGGGCGCCTCGGTTTTGCTCTGTGCGAGTGGAACATCCTCTCGTGGTGGAATAAACCTGATTTCACCCCTGTTTTCAGCGTTTCCTGTGATTGTGTGCCAGGCTGAAGGGATGAAAAGGGACAGCTCCTCACTRGAGGCGCTTTGTTCTTCTCTCTTTGAAAGCAAAGTTCTTCTTCTTGGCCTGGAAATGAAAGCGATCTGTTCGGGCTCTCTTTAGAAATCCAAAATT